GAATTTGACAAGAACTCCTTGGATCTCAGTGAGTGAGCCTCTTACCTAGCTGGGGGCGTTGGAGAAGCATTCCTGGGGGTGGTAGAGCCTGTCTTGGGAGAGGGGTTGTTAGATCTACAGAGGAGAGGGGCAGCAGTCTGCCTGGCGGATGCACCTTCTGCTCAGAGCTCAGGAGATGAGAACGAAGATAGTGGTTTATTCAGTTTGATTAAAGAAAGGTTGATCTCGTAACCCTGGGTCTTTAGCCTTTTTCCGAGGGAGAAGAAACAGGTGTGGAAACCAGTTCCTACCCTCAGGAGGTCTTTGTCTATTTGGGGTGTTGAACCTCTCCTTTGCTAGAGAGTGAGAGTAGGTAGGACTAGGGCATGACTGGAGAGGAAGGCATTCTAGGTGCGTTGGTAGGATGGGGAAGTTTGGCAGATGTGAGACGGGTGCTGACAGAGCTCTCTAGGACTCTTAGCCCACACTGGGTGGTTGACTCAGGTAAGCAATGTCAGCGCAGGCTGGGGTGGTTGAGAAGGGCTTTCTGAAGGAGACCGAGACTGTCAAGAGGAAGGAGAAAGTATTTTAATAGCCCAGGCAAAGGTGTGATGGCGAAAGGGGACACTTTGGCAAATGGGAAGTAGCCTGAGGCTGAGGCGTGACCAGGAAGGAAAGAGAGTGAGATACTGAAGTTCTTTCCTGCTTCTACCTACACCTCCTTGAACAGGCCAGGTGAGCAAAACTTCCCCAGGGCAACAGAATGGAACAGCCTCATCACGGAAGGCCCTCCAGGATCAGGACCTCCCCATCCGGCAGGAGGACTCAGAGAGGAAGCGGAAACACCTTCCAGACCGGTGGGACCCTGGGCATCTGGGATGGCAGTAGAGGGCAGGGGTGTGGGGAGGCTCCAGCAGTCAGAGGAGGCTTCCAGGGTGAGTCAGGTGCATAGAAGGAACTAGGAGTAGCATTATGGGTGGGCAAAGGCGGGGTGACCAGAATGCGCATCTGACTAAGCCTAGTGTCTGTCCCATCTCCACAGACAGGATGAGCCTGCAGCCAAGAGTGAGAAGGCAGCCCCCAGGAGTCAGCACTGGTTGCACAGGGACCTGCGTGTGAGATTTGTGGACAAGCTGCACAAGGGTGGCCAGTATTATAACACCAAGGTGGGAACCTCACAGCCTGGGTCCCCTTCCTCCCTCAGGGACCGGGCCCCCTTAACTTTTTAGCATTCTCACATCCCCTGATCTCTCCCCAGATGACAGTTGAAGATGTCCTTAGCCCAGATACCTGTGTGTGTCGGACAGATGAAGGCTGGGTCCTGGAAGGTGAGTCTGAGGGATGGCCACTGGGTCATTATCATCCGGGAGGCTGATCAAGACCGTCTTAGGCCAAGAGACTGCCCAGGCAAAGGCCGGGAGGTTGGGCAGAGTTCAGGATTTTTTGCAAGGCCCAGCATCCTCCAACAGAACATTAAGATACTTATCGGAGCCCTACTTTCCCCATCTGCAAACTTAGCATGGAAATGACCTATTTCTCCCTCTTGCGACTGGTGTCTTGTAGGGGCGTTCATTGAGCTCCCTGTTGCAGAGTAGGGCTTACAACATGGCCATGATAAACAGTGTCTTGTTATTACCACCACCCATCATCATCGTACATAAATGCTCCCTTTAGTACAACTATTGTTAGGAACTGCTCCTTAGGTTTTCTCATCTGAAATGGATGTGGTGGGACTCCCGTCTGTCAACAGGGTACAGAGGGGCTCCAGGGAATACAGGAAAGGTCCTTCTGACAGGACCTTGACTGGGCTGGCCCTTGCCGCAGGCCTCACTCCCCTCTCCTTGTCTCTAGGAGTCAGGGAAGACATGCTGGAGACCCTCGTCCCCAAGGTGGAGGGCAACCGGGTGATGGTGGTGCTGGGGCCACATGCTGGAAGGGTGAGTCCCAGACCTGGAAATGGGAGTGGGAGCGTGTCCCGGTATCTGGGTTGGCCTAGCTGACTCCACATCCCTCTACTCTAGGTGGGCTGTATGCTGGGCCGGGACAGAGAGCGGAGCCAGGTTGTGGTGCAGCTGCGGAGAGAGAATCGACTGATGGAGCTTCACTATGATGCTGTCTGCGAGTACATGGGCCCCAGTGACTCAGATGAAGACTGACCCATGGACCCACTCCATCCCCCAGGCGGTTACCAGTTCTGTACAGTGTGAAAGGCCTGCCTTTGTGAAGGTGGGGAGATCATTGTCCCATCCTGCACTTGCAGTGCAACCCTGGGACAGGGACAGGGCACAAGATGGGTTGGCCAGAAGGGAGGCTAGAAACAAACCTAGTATTTACTAGCAGTTAGTATGTAATAAAAACCATTTCAACTACTTAGTAAAACGAAGAGCTCATAAACGGTATGCTGAGCTGTGAGTGGAGGTAGGAGCTGTGCTGAGGTGGGAGCCATCCCATTTTTCAGCCCTACCACCTTCCTTGGGCTGTCAGACAAGTTAAAGG